GAAAGGATCCTCTGCCTAAGTTCGCCGCGGCACACATCTAACTTCGCCGCGGCAAAAATCATCTGTTGAAGCAAGGCTCTCTGCCATGTTTCGCTACGGCGAACATCTCGTAGTAGCAAATCTCAGACCCGACCATTTCGGGAAATTTTGACCTACCCATCCCCAGAAACCGACCCATGCACGCAAGTTTCAGGTTAGAAACCCTATTTTGGGTATGATGAGATCAGACTATCATTATTTAGCCTCCACCTACGTCTCTTTCATCTTCTTCTCTCATCTCCCCCTCAGAAACCCTTATCCCATTTCTATTCCTTCCATCTGCTGCTGCCATGGCTGAAGAACAATACCTAGTTGGAGTTGATTCAAGAGTTATGACGAGCTAAGCTTCTCAACTCTTGAATATGGTGGAAGAAGCATGAGTTCCAAGAGCTTCAAAGGGGAGTTAGCTTCATCCATAAGTTCTAGTTCTTTATTTATGGATTTCTAGGTCTTAGGATTTGTAAATTTGGGCTGAACTATTTTGATTATGGTTGTAATCAATTCTGGATGATTATCTTGTGTATTGATTAGTTAATGTTGAATTTGAGCTTCAATATATGTGGTTACATATATGTTTCTATGCAACTCTTTTGATACTCTCTTTCTTGCATGGTATTGTGTGATTGTTGAGTTAATCTAGGCTTGCATTTAACCAAGTGCATTAATTAATCTTAATACACATACTAAGTGAGCTTAATAGGATCTTATGAAATGGGTGCCATTGATTAAGATCCTAGACTTAAAGAGTTCTTTAAGGTTTTTCATTTAGAAAACTTGGTGATTTTTACTCCCAAAATTATTTTGAACTATGATTGCTTCAAAGCCATGTTCAAGAGATTACATATCATTAATTTCCACTACATTACTACTATCCTGGAAAAATCCAAAAACATAGTAACTTAGACTTGATTTAATTGCATTTAGTTTTGGCATTTCATTAATTGTTAAAAACCCAAAAACCCCTTTTTTTCATTACTCTACATAACATTTAGTCTAACCTAGATAACTAACTAAGGCTCCCAAAAGAGAACGACCCGAGTTTGCATTACTGCATAGCTTGGATAAATTTTTGAGTGAGAACCCCTAAGCGAACGATAAGAAAGGCTCTCTTTCAATCACACATCTGTTTAGGTGGGAAGTTTAGCTCTCCTGGGTAACTATCACTCTAGATCAAAATCTTATATGCTTTTATGTCATTCATATCCCCTCCTCTGACAGACTCAGGATTTCCTAGTAGCTTATTTATCTTAGCAGAAGTGAGGGTAATGGTTCTGCCTTTGAGTCGTGTTGTGAGATAATTATTCACCAAATTATCTTTGTCATTATACTCTTCCACATATTCCATATTACAGTAAAATCTCTTAACCACTTCAAGACAATATTCTCTGCCAATACTCAGCCATTTAGAATAGTGTTCTAGAGGGTTACTCAAATCTAACATGATTTTCTCATTCTTTTTCAAACTATCCAAATCTATCGAGACCACAGGACAAAACTTTCAAGTTACAAAATCAGCTTTGAATCTCCCTTAGTTTATGTCCTTTTCTAGATTTCCGGTGAGAAATTCAGATGGTTCAAAAGGGATAGCTTGGCTAGGGGCTTGTGTGACGCACCCTCATTTGCTCTCTGTTTCCTTTGTCTTGGTTGCTTAGGGATAGGAACTCATAATACAGCCTCCACAGCTTTCTGAACTGAAGTTTCCTCATTAGATTCTATTTCGGACTCCTCGGTAACCATCGGTAGCTTGGATTTTGACTTTGACCGTGGAGATTTTCTTTGAGGAGTGGGTTACTCTTTAGTCTGACTTTCCTGAATCTTCAATACTCCTCTCTTCATGTTAACATGTGCAAGATGTTTATGCCAAACCCAACTTTCCTCCTTTTTGCTAATAAAACAGTTTTTAGAAAGTTTTGAATCAATTTGAAGAGCATAACAATTACCGTCCCTTGGAGCTCTCAGCTTTACATTCAATTCTTCCTTCTTTAATGGCAAGTCATCTTTGCTTATGACTAAGCATTCTTTTGAATCAAAGATCACCCAGTTGTTTTTGTTAGTACTTTGATTGACACTGAGCAGATTGTGACACAGGCCTTCTATGTAGTACACATCTTCAACCTTCATCCCTTTGTCACTTCTTATCTCTCCGATTCCAGCAATTCTTCTAGACTGATTGCCACCAAAGCTTACTTTGCCTCCTTCTCTTGGTTTGAGTGATGTGAATTTCTTGGTATCACCCATCATATGTCTGGTGCATCCATTGTCGATGTACCATTTGTTCGTTCTGGATGCTTTGAGACATACCTGTAACAACACAATCATGTTTTAGGTACCTATACCTTCTTGGGTCCTTTTTGGTTGGTATGAATTGTACTAGGCACATAAGTATTTTTGGGCACCCGTTTTAATGTCCCATATTTTCCTTTCTTCTTGTGATAATAAGAAGAGGTTGTATGACCTTTATGGTTGCAATAAGAACATAATGCAAAAGGATTAGAGGAATGAACAGTATTTCTAAAGAAGGTAAGATACGACTGACCACCACTTTTCCTCTTTCCTTTCATCTTATCTTGAACAGGATCATATCCTATTCTGGTTTTATCCATTGAACACCGTTGAGCTCCCAGAATCACTTTGATCATTTCATTACCCTTAGTGAACTTTTCCAATGTTCTTGTAAGATCCTCGGCCTTGCTTCTATTTTGTTCATATTCTGTACATACTGGGGGTGGAACTGTTATCTTTCTGCTTCGCTTGCTATTCCTCCAGAAGCTTTATTTTTTTCTTGGAGCCTACCAACTCCTTTACAATTCTTACTAATTCTAAATGTAATGCATTGTATTCATATTATAATTCATCATAGGAGGGTTCAGAAGTAATTACCTCATCTGTCTCTGAATCTTCATCTTCCTGAGCCACGAGACAGATGTTGGCAGTTTCTTCGTTGTCGTTTTCTTCTTCCTCTGAGGAACTATCTCCCCAGATTGACGTGACAAAGTCTTTCTTCTTTCTGAACTTTCTTTGTCCTTTATCTTGGACAGCTGGGGACACTGTGCTTTGATGTGCCCTGGTTTTTGGTATTTGAAGCAGATGATTGGTTTCTTTGGCTCATTCTGAGATGTGGAGATTTTCCATTTTGATTGAAACCTCCTTCCGGCTTTGTTTCTGTAGAATTTCTTGAACCTTCACTACTACAAAATGAAAAATACTTGATGGTTATTTTGGATCATATTTGACAGTTAAAAACCGTCAACTATACTGACGTCATATATTTCAACAGCAAATATTTGACGGTTTTAAAGAAAGAACCGTCAATTATTATTCAAACAATTGACGGTTTCTCAAAAAAACCGTAAACTAAGTTCTAAATATTTGATGGTTATTAGAGAAAAACCGTCAATTATTTTGGGTATACTTAACGGTTCCCAAAACCGTCAAGTATTCTTTAATACTTGACGGTCTTAACTAATAACCGTCAAGTATTATTGGTTTTTTTTTTTTATATTCGTTCTGCTTTGCCAGCAGCCCCCCTGCAATTTTGAAATCGATAATAAAGGCTCATTCAACAGAATCATACAGGCCAGCATTCAAACCAATTCAGCCATATACATATATCTTAATGAACCAAAAATAATTTACATTATCATATATATACATGAACTAATGAAAACCAATTGTGATATATTAAAATTCTGACAAGTACAAAAGGTGAAACAATTCCAAAATTAGCTAATTGCCAAAGTTGTGCAATGCCTAAAACTAACCAATAGCCAAAAATGAACCAAAACCAAAATTATATTGAAACCAAAGCTAGCTGTACTTACATACATTGTCTTAATGTACACTTCCCTATCTATGTTGTGCCCACTGACGGAATAAGGCCATCGCCAACTCCTCAACGATTTCTTCCATCTGAGCAGATGAATACACTGTGCAATATGTGTCGGCAAAGTACTGTATGCAACCACAAATTATGACTTAAGTTAGATAGAAATGTAAAGCTACAATAAGTACAATAATTCTTAAATATATAAATTGAACCTTAACAAATGCATATTACCTGTGTGGGAATTGTGTCAGCATTGTGCAGAATTATCTCCTTCATAAATTTCATCACGCAATATCCACAATGGGAGCTCTTGTTGGGCTGACGTGGGCACTGTAAAGAATGGAAAAGGAAATAATATTAGTCAATCATATAAATAAACCATATTTAGTAGAATAGTAAATAATGGTAGTGAATACCTTCACTTTCTTCCACGGGAAGGTATCGTCAAATTGGCCGTTTTTTACCGGGGGGCAGGGTAAGGCCTGATTTGTGCGGTATAGCCACAAAGCCCTGAGAAGACAATAAAATTGAATATTAATATTGTCAAAAATTTGATTGAAGCAAGAAATTAAATTAAATTTAAATAATAGAGATAAATATTACTTGTTGAACAATGAAACCATAAATGGTCAATTGGTTGGATCCCCATGAAGAGAATCAAGATACCAAATCCTCGGCTTTGTGGGATTGACCACAATCAGCATCCAATGTCCCCTAAGTATAAGAAAGACAATTAGAACTATTACAAATTATTTTGAAAATGAAAGAATTTAGGAAAGTTTACCTTTGACAGTAAGGTGCCAAAAACAAAGTCTGAGCCCCCGGTGTTGCCTTAGAAATGAAGATATCCAACAAGTCTCTGGATAAGTCTTTCTTCATATCAGGTCTGTGGCTAGCAAAAGTGTGGGGGCTGATAATCTTGAACTTGTCATCAAGGCCACCAGGGGCTATGAAGTTCTTGAAAAGATATCTAAATCAACAAACGAAGATATCAATAGGATAAATGTTCAAGTACTTAAGTATTTAGTTAAGGTTTTAACAAATACCTTATATAAAAGTTACAGGCATTTGTGCTGGCCATTCCATGCGTCAGAATCTCTTTCAATACTTCATTTGTGACATAATCTGACGAGGGTCAACCGTATACCTCTGGCTCAAACTCTAGGGGAATCATGAAATCCTCGCCATGTTCTAATCTGGCCCCAATTGCATATTCCTCAAGACATATTCGGAATCTTGATGATACCACTTGAACGGGCTTAGAGGGCTGCTTCTGTGGTGATGATAATGAGTGATCACCCAATAGGCTCTTCTTCCCCTTAGACTGACAAACAGACTGTTAGTAATTAAAATAGAGTTTATTTTAAATCAGCTGAATTTGTAGACCTATACATATATACCTTTGAAGGATGTCCTAATGTAAGAAGACGGCCAGGCCAAGCGACAAAGCTACCCACTGCTTGAGCCACTGTCTCTGCATCTGGGGTGGGTATCAGGAGGGCATAATTCGCATCAATAGCAGTGTTCAACTGCACCCTTACATGATCAGCAGGGAGAGGCACATTATGAATCATACTCTCCCCCGGTAAATTGAACATGCGGCCCGTTGCAACAGTGTGATGTTTAGGGCTATCCGCCATACACTGAACGTCCGCTTCACCCTGATTTAACATGAGAGACAAGTTAGCTAGATATATAAATTATTGAATGTAATTATATAAACACAAGTATTATACCTCAGGTAGCAAGGGGAATGTGCAGCTGTCTTTGCCACTTGGGCTGAGATTCGGTCGGCTGTGGTGCTTGATTCTTGATCAACTGCCCGATTAGGAGTGCTTGCGCTTTAACTTGCTCCTTTAACCAGCGTGTTTCTTCCTTCAGCTCCATGAACTCAGCAGAGGAAGGCGTGCACGATGAAGAGGGCTTTTGTCGGTACCCGAAGTAATCTCTCTTGGTGACTCTATAACCGACGCCCCTAAGAAGACCAGGATGGTCAGGAGTCCCCAATGCCCTCCTCAATATATCCTGGTCATCTGCAGAATATGCCCCCTGCGAAACTTCCTGGGACAAACTCTCCTGTGAACAAACATTGATATAGTTATTCATACTTAAAGATATTTGACAATAACGTGAGGATTATTTAATTTAGAATAATACTCACCATCCTGTCCACGACCTCCTTAACGTGAGGATTATCAATTTGGCCATCTTTATTTTGCCTGGCCAGTGCCCACAGCATCTGACGGGATACAGTGACATCTGATCCCTCCTTCTGAGTCACCTCTTGCTCGAGGCCCGCATAACCCAAGCACCCCTTTCGGTAGGGATACTCATTCTTCTTTACCCTTTCCTTATTTTGGGAACTTAATTCCTGCAAAAACAAAGTAGATTCACAATTAAACAATATATAGATTAAACAAAATGGACTATTTAATATCAAAAAGAGTGAGGATTATTACTTGAAATTGCCTATCACGACGTGACGTCACAAAAGCAGCCCAATCCTCTGTTTGACCAAGTCCCGTATCAAGCTAGGAACCTGGGACTCGTCGGCTGTGGAAGGATCCTTCAAGTACTTGTGTGTCACAAAATATCGAAAAGAGCGCAGTGCCCTCCCAGCCTTCCCCTACAAACTTCTTCCTGCTCTCATCTATATCAAATGCAGACTGCAAAACATATAAAACACATTAGTGTCACGCAGCTTGTAAGAAAATGAAATTTGAGTTGTTATAATATATTACCGATACATCTGTCCAAATAGTGTCTCGCACTGAACGATCAACCCTCCTCCAGTGCTGCGCTGTAATGGGCACGGTGCTTCGTGCCACTGCCCCAATATAGCTGATAAATTTATTTGACCGTACAGCTTGTCCTTTCTTATTCCACTGTACGCAAATTTCTTTCCTTCTGTTCGAGCTTTCACGACCTCTTGCATGACACAAAGGCCCCTCTGTATGCGTGCTGCCTCCTCTTGCAACTGTCTCTCCTGCTCAGAGGCATCTCTTGGCTGAGATGGGTTATCAGTGCTAGATCCGCTATCGTCTGCCATTGCAATGAAATTCAAGTAAACAAAATGAATCAGAATCCATTAAATGAAAATAAAGTCATTAATGACGAAATTGACTTGAACAAAATTAAAACAAATAAAAGAATCAAAGAAAATAATAAGAGAATTTACATGCATGTTTAAGAAGATCTTTTTCTTTTTCTACTCTTATGTTTTTGCATGTTCTTCTTGGTTTGAATTGTTTTGATCTTCTTACGAAACACTTTCCCCCTCTTTGAAATCCATATTCCGTCATTGTGATCATGCCTGACATACATGGATTGATCTTCATTTAAATGAGAATCAAGTGAGGCCCTTGAAATGGATCATCTTCAACTGCATTGTCTTCATACCCCGTCTCTTCAATATTCATTTTATTAGTCAACAAAACAATAGACCATCCTTTGGCAGCCGGGTCAGGGACATAAAACACTTGCGTAGCCTGAGAAGCCAAAATGAATGGCTCTTCCTTGTATCCTTCTTTATTCAAATTCAATTGTATGAACCCTAAGTCATCAATCCTCAATGCATTATTATTATCCACCCATTTGCAACCAAATACCGGAACTCTGAATTCAATGTAATCCAACTCCCAAATATCCTCAATCACTCCAAAGTATGACATACGTGCATAGATAGGATTTTTATCTTTGGCACTCGATATATGCATGGTACTAGCTACAAGAGTTACGCCACTATTTTGCTGTTTACTCCGATCATCTTGCTGTTTAGTATAGAAAGTGAACCCATTCATAAGGTAGCTTGTGAAAGAAATCACATGTTTGCTCGGTCCATCTGCCAACAACTTTAATTTCTTCAAACAGAATTAGGATCATTATTATACTTGCCATGCACCTGCTCTCTCAACCATGCTGTAAATTGTTTATTGTGTGTTTTGGTGTACCAACTTTCAAGTTTATTGGGATTATCCCTCTTTAGCTCATCAATATGCTCATGCACATAGTCCTCAATCTCTTCAGAGTTGTGCAATACATATAGATGTGCCTGCTCCCACTGTTGGTTTGAAATAGTTACGACTTTTTTTCCATAATCCCTTCTCCATCTGTCCTTCCCTCATGACGAGACATTAGAACCCCAATATCACTTGCATTTTTTAAGTAATGGGTACAAAATTCAGTAGCCTCTTCACAAATATATCGTTCTACGATACAACCCTCTGGCCGACTTCGATTTTTCACATACCCTTTCAATATTTTCATGTAACGCTCAACTGGGTACATCCATCTTAAATACACTGGGCCACATAGTTGGACCTCTCTAACTAAGTGGATGGTTAAATGGACCATGATGTCAAAAAAGGCCAGAGGAAAATACATTTCAAGTTCACATAATGTAACTATGATTCGGGTTTGCAATCTTGGCAATTTACTAGGATTAATCACTTTGCTGCAAAGAGACTTAAAGAAGAAACATAACTTTGTGATCGTAACTCATACCTTATCAGGTAAAATAGCCCATATTGCCACTGGAATAAAGTTTTCCATTAAGACATGACAGTCATGAGATTTTAAACCTTTTAACTTCATATCCTTCATTGACACAAGGTTACTAATGTTAGAAGAGTAACCTTCCGGCACTTTTACTGAAGCAAGAAACTCACAAAAACTACTTTTCTCTTTTCTAGAAAGGGTGTGAGCTGCCGGACGAAGAAATGTACGAGTTCCCTTATCCCCATTTCAACCATGTCTAGCCTGGCATTTATGCCATCTTTAGTCTTCCCGGGAATATGGAGTAATGTGCCAAACAGACTTTCACATACGTTTTTCTTAATATGCATAGCATCAAGAAAATGTCTCACATTCAGGGTTATCCAATACGACAGTATAAAGAAAATAGACCTCTTCTTCCACCCACTTGTCCCAACATGCTTCGCGAAAGGTTTTCCAAATTCACAATCTATATCTTTCACCTTTTGAAATACATCCTCCCCAATCAACGGTGTTGGTGCCTTACCTTCTTCTGAATTCCCATTGAAATATTTTTTGAATCGCCGGTAAGGATGATCACGATGCAACCATCTACAATGTCCCATATATGAATTTTTCATTCCATGCTTCAACCTTATGGAATCTGTGCTCTCTTCACAAATGGGACAACCAAGTTGTCCTTTAATGCTATACTTGAGAGATTACCATATGCAGGAAAGTTGTTAATTGTGCCAAATAACATAGCTCTCAACTTGAATGTTTCTTCCTTATATGCATCATATACATCAACTCCATTCTCCCACAATACTTTCAAGTCTTCAATTAATGGAGCTAGATATATATCTATGTCATTTCTCGGTTGCTTTGGCCCAGAGATTATCATAGACATCATTGAATACTTGCGTTTCATGCATAGCCATAGAGGAAGGTTATATATAAACAAAATCACTGGCCATATGCTATGGGTGCTGCTTTGCATCCCATAAGGTTTCATCCCGTCGGTGGCTAATGCAAGGCGTAGATTTCTATCTTCTTCCCCGAATTCAGGATACTCAATATCAAACTTCTTCCATTATGGAGAATCAGCAGGATGGCGAAGCATGCCATCTTTAACCATTTCATCTGCATGCCACCTTAAATTTCTCGCATCTTCTACATTACTATACAAGCGTCTAAATCTTGGCACTATGGGAAAATACCATAATGCCTTCTTCGGGCTCTTCCCATTCTCTTGGTAGCGTGATGCATTACACTTAGTACACTCAATTAGTGACTTATACTCCTTCCTAAACAAAATGCAATCATTGGGGCAAGCATGTATCTTCTCATAGCTGAGGCCGACAAAGCGCAACACTTGCTTTGCATCATACGTTTTACTTGGAAGCTCATTTTCTTTTGGTAGCATTTGTTTAACAAGCAATAGCAGTTCTGTGAAGCTTGTGTCGCTCCACCCATTTCTTGCTTTCAAATTATACAGTTTCAACACTGCAGACAATTTTGTGAAATCAGTACAACCTTCATATAGAGGTGTCTCAGCATCACACTTCAATCTATCAAACATTTCAGGACAATCGTCAAGTTCCCGTTCAATCGCATTTGTCATCTCCTCAAGACGATCAGCTTCACATGTACTCATGTCAAGATTAGATGATCTATAGCTTTCACTATGCCCTCGACTACTATTACTCACATCTCTTGTCTCTCTGTGCTTTGTCCAACACTTGTAACTTTGATCAATTCCATTGATAATTAAGTGGCTCTCACAATTGGATGGTGAAACCCACTTCAAAAGGTAACACTTAAGACAGGGGCAAATAATCCTGTTGTGATCATCGGCGTGCTCAATCGCAAACTTAATAAAATCTTCTACCCCATCCCAATATTCTTTTGATAGACGATTGGCGGACATCCATTCCTTGCCCATGGTCCCCGACTAAGATGAATCATTTAGAGGAAAATGTGATCAGTGACTCAAAGATATTGTGAGAATTAAACAAAAATAGAAAGTCAACACATGAGCCACTATTGATCACATTTATCCCTCTTTAATTCTACTTGCTAACAACTAGTAGTTGTTAGCAACTAGTAATTCAACAAAAATTCACTTTCACTTCAGTTTGAAAAATATTCTACTACTACTAATGTGCTATTCCATTTGAAAAAAATTCGGCAGCATAACGGCTTATAACTTAGCATTCCCCAGGCTTTATGGCAGAAAACCAAACCAGCACATAGTCAATTTCAATTACAAAAACAAAAATTGAAACATTAGGATTGCATTCCCTAGACT